AAAGATTGTTTTTGAATTATATGACATGAAAGAAAGTGTCAGTCCTTATCACTACCACACTCTTCAATAAAATGATTAAACATTTTGATTTTTATTTCATAATCACACGTATGTGGCAAACTATTTACTTATGAACTCAATTGAAGGACAGTTAGATTAGTGAATAATCGATATAAATCCAAATAGTTTACATGTATATAATGATGCATTATCTTGAAATCATTATTTTTAAAAATTTAATTTATTTTATTTTATTAATTTATTTAATTATATAAATTAATTTCAAGGACAGTTATTATAAACTTAAATATAATTGTTATTAATTATTGATTTATTTCAATAAGAAAAGTTTTAAAATATAGTTAATAATTAATGTAAATAATTTATTTTAAATAAGAATAAAAGCGACAGACATTTATTGCTTAATTTAAAAACTAAATCACATAATCAACATAATATGCCACAAATTGTTTTATTGTTAAAATATACTGCAACTTAATTTAATAATATATTTTATAATTTAACAAATGTTTGTAAATATTTTTGGGAAAACTTTATTTTATTTAACAATTTGTTAAATAATTTACAATATTATTGAAATACATAATAAATATAACATTTAATATGAGTTTAAAGAATATTAAATAAAGACACAAATATAATGCAATTTATTTGATAATANATTTTTGGGAAAACTTTATTTTATTTAACAATTTGTTAAATAATTTACAATATTATTGAAATACATAATAAATATAACATTTAATATGAGTTTAAAGAATATTAAATAAAGACACAAATATAATGCAATTTATTTGATAATAGTTTATTTGATAATAAGTTATTTGATTGAATCATTTGGTGCTGTGATATGAGAGCCGGATTCGCACTGAAGAATATTCAAGGATTCTCTCTATTCATTGGATTTTAAGTTTAACATTAATTACACTTATCATCATTACATAACCAGATTAATAATTGAATTAATGTATAACCTGACTAAATTAACTAAATATATTAATTAAATAAACATTTATAATTAAAAATAAGATTTTAAAGCAAAAGTTTTTTGTGTCACTATAATTCACTGCTATTCTTGAAATATTTAAATTTGAAAAACTTGTTAATGATAATTTTAATCTATCACTTTTAAACGCCATGTGTTAAATTTTCAGAAAATATTTATGTAATATAATAATTATTATAATAAATAATTTAAATTCTAATATTTCATTTTATTAAGTTCAGTTTATAAGTTTATTTAGAATAGCATTATGTGAATGAATAGTAAATATAATACAATTTGAATGAGTCTTACTTTAATGAGATCTCTGATCTTAATGACTGCCATATCGTTCATCTGTTGACAGCCGTAGTCATTGAGTGATCGCTTACCGCCCGGACGCCAGTCCTTTGAAAACGTGATTTGAGCCGAAGTCATGTCCAGTAAGAGGATAACTACCAGAGCCATAGTCACTAAAGTCACCAAAATATGTGTCGTCTTTGAATTCATTATGAAATGTAATTTCAACTAAACGTGTATTTGGACTATAATTCAAACTAAAAACTAAGTTCTTTAAGAGCAGAATATTCTGTCGCCTCTTATATATAACTATATTTTATCAAATCAGACATCAGTTGTCATAATCACACGAATCTCCTCCTCATCTCTTCGCAGATGTAATAAATGAATTCAAATCATAAAAAGTACTTTTTGATCGATTTATCTTTAAATGTAAGTCACATTTGGTTTCAACTTA